TGTTAATTTGATCAATAAGGTGGTTTAGTGTTTGATATTTAATAATCGATGATGGTTCCGCACGTTGGTTTTCTAATCGACCTCGTGATAATTTATGAATTGCATTAGATAGAGTTGCCGCGGTCAGCTCCTTTTTTTGACGTGGATTCAGTTCTACACGTTGATTATTAAGCTGAGGTGCGACATAATAAACACGGTCTATCGCAGAAATTACATTCTCCAGGTCACGCTGTGTCTTCTCATTGTTACTTCCTATATCCAGATCCAGAGATGAATATTTTGGTGGATCAATGCTAGTTCTGTCTTTTTCATCAAAGTCACAAGAATATCTCGGGGGCGGATCGATGTTAAACCTATCTCGACATAAACTTGCAACAATCTCCATCAGATGATCAATTTCATTCCAGGTTGCTAGGCGTTCATCTGCAATATTATCATTCAAATTTAAGCTTGCACTTCGATTTTGCAAAGTTGTAACTTCTTTGTGTAAAGTACTATAAATATCATCGCTATTCGTAACATCCTGTAAAATTGCAATGTGAAAGCTTGAACTACCATTATTAATTACATCAGTTTGGAAACTTTGAGGTTGACACAACTCCAAAATTCTATATAAATAACCAAGTAACGCAGCCAAAGTACATGCTAAACTGTAATCATCATTAGGTACGAGTGGACTATTAGAATCTAGTTGGCGTCGGATTGTGTTGATTGTAGCGATATCAGATGATGATGGTTCAACTTGCTGTATTTCACCGTTGGCACTCAGTATAGTTGCATTATGAGCAATGCCAGCTAGTAACTGTGACCTTATCCAAGAGTTTCTACTCTCAATGCTTAGGTTATTTGATTCACGATCCTTATTCGAAGAGATAGGTGTATGACTGAAAGAGTAGCGTCTCCTCCAGGGATCACTCCTTGATGTATTTGAAGAATTTGGAATTGTAGATATAGAAGTTTGATCAGAGACAATTTGTCGTAAAAGACTATCCAGTGCAAGGAGTGCTACATTCTTAACTGTTGTTAAAGATTCGATAACATCCTATATATTTTGGTTAGACTGTGATTAATCGACTGATCATGCCACCGAATTTATTGAAAATGTTTCGATTTTACCTGAGAAACCAGCACATCGTTTATCTCTTCTTTTCCAGAACTAAGTCTCGACAGTTCATCCGATTCTTGAAGATCACCATTTGACTCTCTTTGTAATTCATTAGTGTCAGCGTTATCATTACTTCCCTCTCCAGGTGCACCAGCGGTTGGTGTTGAGGGTTGCGATAATCCTAACTCTACCTCGCTAAATTCTTCATTTAATAACAAGTCCAGAATGTGGTGATCTTTCTCTTCAGATTGTAGTGGAGGCAACGTTGGTGGAATATTACTAGCGCTACTTTCAGTTTCTTCCAAGAGGTTTGTAAGGCGACCTATATTTTCGGGCATAGACCTCTGCCCACATTAAACGTAAACGAAGGTAAGCACAATATGAAGTTTCTTCGCTCTTGAAATCGCCGGCACAACCATTAAATAAAATATAGTAGTCTGAGGTTATATACCCGTTTGGCCTTTGAAGAACGTTTGATTGACTCGACGGTAGCCATTATTCGCCTGGGAGAAGAAGAGAACAAAGTGAATGCTTATAGTTATCAGGGTTCGTGTAATGTCTTTAAGTTAGATAAGGAACCAATTATAAATTGTTTTATTATTTGCATAAAAAAGGAAATTTCAATTTAAAAAAACCGAGTTGTTTACAAACAAACAATTGGTTAGAACGTATTATATTTCCTGATAGAATAATCTTTTATTATATTCTCTAGGTTCTTATTAAGCTATAGATTATTGAAAGTATTCATGTTATTAATTAAATAACAATCTTTTAGATCGTTTCTAAAATCTTATTCAAAACGAATCAATAGTTATTTTAATAATATTTCAAATTTAAAAATATATTTATATTAACCTTTGAGGTATTAAAAAAATCTTTGAGTAAAAACTTGCTAGATTATAAATTTATTTTTGTTAAATGGGGTTTTTTTTTAAAATATTTAGAAAGAATTGAGATATTGTAACTATTACAAGTATATTTTATACTATAATAAATTACTTTGCAAGTTAATAATGCTTCTGATAAATAATATTATTGGTATCACTGTATTTATAGCTATTTAAATTAATATTTTCATTATTTATATCATTAAAATTATTTAAAGAATTATCATATTTTATCTTAATTTTTAAAAATAAATAATATCAGTAATATTTTAATAGAAATAATTTTAAAAAAACTGAAAAAAACAAATAAAATTAGAAAATATATATATATATTATTATTATTATTATTATTTATTTTATTTACCTTAAATAGTTTTATTTAAGCATAATTTTTAATACTATAAAAAAAACTCTTTCCGCTGATCCACTATTTTCCTAAAAATTTCCTTTTTTGATAAGTGTTTAAAGAAAAAGAATAACACAACCCAAGCTCAATAAACACAGTAAAGAGAAACATGACTACATTACCTCACTTGGAGTAACACATAAAGCTCTATAAACAAGCCATCAGGAGAAGAATATATAATAATAAATTAGTACTTTATCTATCAACTTTTGAAGGAAAGGGAAAACAAAAGTAAATCTGAATCACAGTAAGATCAAGGGATCCAACATCAACTCCCTTAGCTTCTAATTAGGTCAGTGCAGATTTACATCTTTTTAGACATTAGAAGGAACTTGATAATATAGTAACCTTAACTGGTAAACCAGTTAAAACTCAAAATTTGCAAGATTCAAGAGGACGTCAGAAATTCAAGGGTAACAGTTAGAGATTATTAGTAACAACACATCAGCAACATATAAACAACTAATATATAATGTGAATATGAATATATTCCTTTAGACAATAGAGACATAACAACAGATTACGTGACATGTCTCTAAACAGATAAACATGCTCAACATGTGTTCTAGCTAATCACAAAACACATTTCTTATATCCAGTTTATCCTTAATAAATCCAGCACATGTGTTACTGAAATCAACAAATAAATAGATAAACAACCTGTAACTTGTATTTACTCTACAATTAATCTACTAGTACAATAGATAAATTAGGGAACCCTCAGTAATACTATCTGAATAAGTAAACAAATAAACAGAGATAATATATGAAGTGTAACTCATCAAATAATTATGTGACACAGCCAACATAGATAAGGCACAATGTATTCTTCATATAGCAAATAAAAGGAAGGAGGATATCTTGAATAACTTAATTAAGTTTTCAAGAAAGTACATGAAACCTCAGAACTATAGGTATCCTAACAATTGGTAAGGCAAAAAGCAGAAGCTTCAAAAAAAGAAACAACTTCCATACCAGAGACTTTTACCATCCTAGATAGTATTAATGCTAACATCCTAGGAATAGACAAAGCAACATTCTATATGGAATAGATTTTTACTCAATATATTCTATATCTTTGGTAATAAAAAAAAAGAAAAAGAAGAATGTTTTCTACAGCCCTATATAGAAGACAAATTCATAAAAATTATCAAGAATGTAAGTAATCTACAGAAGCCGAAAAGTCAACTGATGGAGATTATAGAATATGTAGATACTAAGTCAACGATATATAATGAAATAATAATGACCAGTGTTTATAAACAAGAAGAAGACGAAATATAAAAGCTTCAAGAGAAAATAAAAAGCAATAATATCAGTAATTATAGCTCATATGACACGAGAAACAGGAACTTCGCCCTATCAACAAATTCATATTTTATAGCAAGAGAAAAAATATATAAACTCAGTACCATAACAGCAAATATTTCAGGGGAAATAAATGAAGAAGCCAAGATCTACTTAAGCAATATCTTGAAACTACCACAAAGAGAAAAACACCTCCTAAAAATAGAATTTATTAATGAAAATGAATAGTTGATCTTTTGAGTACAAAAAGACGAGAATATCCTAAAATGCATAGAAGAGATAAACTGCAAAGAGGATAATTTTACTATTCAACAAATAACTCCTTATACTTCACGTTCTATTCACATAACTAAAAGAAAGAAAAACAGAAAAATCTTTTAGGAATTCAAAGGGGAAAATAGATCTGATATATGGTATGTCAGCTTAATAGATCTAAATCAGAAAGTTTCCAGAAGTTATATAATCAAACATATCAAGAGATATGAAACAGTTCAAAACATTTATATCTATAAGACCAAGATGAAGACTAGGCCAAGGCCTATTTCAAGCTTCATAAATATATTAAATAGAATCTTATGGACAACATTTATAGATATTGAAATGTCCAGTGCCATTTTCACTAAATTAGAGTTGACTGATAAAAAGATAAATGCCACTCTAATCAAGAGAAATAGCAACTCAGCTAGACTGTTAGGTACAAATAGAACTTATACCAGCTTGATAGCAAGAGCTCTATATGGTACTCAGGCAAAAGCATGCTATATTTTCAAAAACCCTTATATATTAAAGAAACAGAACTTTATAGTTGTCTGTTTCGTAACAAGAGAGTATAGGGATAAGCCTGCAAACAATATATTTTCTTACAAGGTTTAAGACTATCCTGGAACATGAAGAATCCCAACAATAGAGAAAATACTAGCCCTATAAGTGAAGAAAAGAAATTACATTATCAAAGATCTCAAAAAATCAATATATATAATAACTCAACTTCTGATTTACTATCAGGTTATGAGTCTATAAGATTCTCTTTCTCTTCCTCTTATCATCATTTCTACATAATAAAACCTATATGCTCTAGAAACCAAAGATAAACAAAACAAAAGAATAATAATAGTGTAAAGCAGGAAAATTATAGAACAACTAGACATTTTGCTACAGATAGTAATAGAGAGTCAATAAAATGATAAAAAACTTACCAGCAGAATATCAGCAGTGAAGATATCAGATTAGAGATAGAAGGCAACCAAGACCCTCTGTAGCTCATATTGGTCAAGCTTAAAAACTGAGTGGTAAAATAAATAGACTTGAAGGACAAATAACCCCAAACAAGATAAATAGAGATAGAAGAGAGACCAATCGCTCTTAACATAGTGCAATAGGCAACCCAAAGAGACAAGAGGTGAATATGCCCACTTCATCCCCAACAGCAACTAACAACAAGGGCAGAGAACAAATACAAGAAAAAGAGGTTTATTTAGAACAATACAATAATTTAGATCTAACAACATTTTTACAAAAGAAACATGATATTTTCCTTAACAAAAAAAAGAAAAAACATAATAATAGAAAAGGAACAGGAAGAAATGGGAGATATACAAAAAAGGATAATTAGGATTAGAATACACAATGTTAGAGACATTACAGATAAGACGAATCAAAGAAGTCTGATTGAAGAAATTACAAAACAAGTAATAGGTATAATAGGTTTATGTAAAATAAAACTTACCTAAGCTAATGCCAAATGGGTTTTTGATAAACAAAGAGTCTACAATCACTTCCATAGCACCAATCCTAGCACACCCTTTGGAACAGGAGTTAGCCTCCTTATTAGAAGAGATCTAAAGAAAAAAGTGGCATCAATCGAAAAAGAAGTTAAATATATTATAGCTGTCAACTTGCTGATGAAAAAGAAAAAGCTCTGTATTATACAGGTCTATATTCCATCAGTTAAGCAAAGATGCAAAAAAGTGCAAGAGAAAATAATTAGCTTTAGCAAAATAAACCATAGAAAAGGCTTTACACAATTATAATAGGAGGTTTTAATGCTGCTTACAACCCTTTAGATGATAGAACCTCATCTTTTAAAGCAAAATTTAAATCCTCTTGGCATCCTAAAATCCCACTGTTTGATTTTCTTAATAAGTGGAGGTTTATAGATACATAAGCCATATGAAAAGGAAAAAACAAGACTCTCACAAGATGAGATGCAACAAATAGTAGTAGAATTGACTATATCTGGATATCACAAAGCTTATTAAGATATCCAATACTATGATTTGATAATGAAAAGATAAAAGAAATCATAGGAAGCAACCACATCATGATTTCTATAACTTTATATAACAATAATCTTTTTATATAAAGTAACACCATAAAGTCTCTTAAACAACAATTAAAAAAAATAGATATTAAGAGAACATCTCCAAAACAATGGTAGACCTTTTGTGAAAACTTAGATCACAAGTTCAAGACAACATTGGAATCCCTACTTAAAGAAGAACCCAATGAAAATGAAAGGAAAA